CATAAGTACCAGAATCTAGTAGCATGGGTTCTGAGAGCTCATTACCATGGCCTGAAGTTCAAGTGAGTGAGGGACACCTCATTTATGGTAAGTGAATATATATAGTGTTCTCACCTCCAAACCCTCATGACGGAGTGTCAAGAGACATCCACAGGGGCTGGGAATGTAGTCAGTGGTAGAGTGCTTGCCTAGCATATGTGAGGCCCTGGGTTCAACCCCCAGCACTGCAACAACAACAAAAAGGCATCCATAAGCAGCCTGCCACATAGATTACTGGAATAACTAAACCTACATCACAAAAACCATTAACCAGTGAAGCCACTTAACAAAGAGGGAGATATGACCAGAGAATTCAGTTCCATTCAGACCAGCATTCTCAATATGACAATATATTCACTGCTTTCAGACACTCTACAATCAATAAGTTCTTTCACTTAACAATGTTTTATTTCCAGCTATGTATATACCTGATATTGGAGACTTGTGGGGAGGCAGATAACAGAAGCACAAGACAGGGTCCTCAAAGAAAATTCTGTATCATTGGAGAAGATACATGCAGAAAGGAAAGAACACAAAACTTTGTGGTAGACTATGTGATTCAAAACAGCTTCAGCAGTCTCTCTCATCCCATATGCAATTTTGCAATGTGACCTTGACATTCCCTCATGAAGAAGTAGAGTCTATATCTCTTCCAGAGAGCATATTTTTGACAGAATGCAGCAGAATGGACCCTATATAACTTCGAAGGCTAGACCTTAAGACGTTCCTTCTTCCTGCTTGCAACACCCCCTTTGGAAAGTCAAGTGCCACACAAAAAAGCTACCAGGCTATGAGGATATCCAAGCTAGCCAGTGAAGAGAACAGTCACATAAAGGAGCACCAAGGCACCAGTTATGTGAGTGAAGTCTTCTAGGACCTTCCAGTCCTAACACAGATGAATGCAGTTAAGAGAACAGTCACCACATGCAACCAAGGAACAGCCCAGCCAAGCCCTAGCTGTAGTTCCTGGCTTCATGAGCAGTTGTTTCAAGCCACAGAACCTTTGTTATGCAGCAATAGATAACTGAAATCAATTTGAAGCCAAAAAACCAGAGATTAGTCCTGGTTCTGTTATTATGTAGCCACATGACCTTGGGTCAAAGACTTCCCCTCTGGACCTGAATTTCCTCATCCATAAAATGAGGTTGTACTAGATTAGCCAAGGTGTTTTCCAGTTCTGACAGTCTGAGCCATTCTCGTGGCTATCAGTGGATAATCTAGGCAGTGTGACAGCATGCTAGGAATACAGAGGGAGCAATTACTTCAGGATAGAGGTAACTACTTGAGGAGTAGGTAACAGAGCCATGAACCAGGAGTCAGAAGCCCTGAGGTATGAGGATCAAATGAAGCAGCAACTAAAACAATGTGTGGCACAAAATAAGTGCTCAATAAATATTTACCATTACCTGACACCACTTCTGTAACTCTGGGCAAGCTAATGTCTCTGATACCCAGTTTTTTTCATCTGAAAAATGGACATAACACTAATGTTCCTATTCTACAAAAAAGTCTTATGCAAATCAATAATCACTGTATCTGTAAGACCAAACTACTATTAATCCTCTTATCCTTTTGTATCATTGTCATTAGAAGCCAGCTGATGGCACTGGCCAGCTACCAAGAAGGTATACCAGGAGATCAAGAGCCAGGTTCAGGGACCCAAGAGCTTTCAAAGGATGTGAGATTTGCCCACCCACCAGCACAGTTCAGTAAGTCAGGTGTCTGCAATGAACATAGAGAATAAGTATCCCTTACAAGCAGCTCTTAGCTCAAATGAAAATCTGGAAAGCAACAGTATTAAAAATTTGAATAATTTCTTACATCAGAGTCCTAAAGGCCAGCAACCTGAAGACACCCCACTGACAGCTGTGAATCAACTACTGTCCAGCAGAGTGAATACGCATAAAAATGACTGTATTAAGTAAGCACAGAATTTAACAGTTTTAGTTAAAAGCTAGATTTGTCACACACAGCTGTGAGCACTGAGGCAGGCAACCACCTCCCTGAGCCTATATTCTGGCAGACAGAATAAGACTTGTCTCCTAGAAAAATAGTGAGAAGTAAATGAGGTATTGCAAGTCAAAAACATCTAGGTTCTGCTTCATTATTATATGCATCATGGTGTGTGTGTTTGATACTGAAGTTTGACATAGGTCCTCGAACTTGCTAGGCAGGACCTCTACCTCTTGAGCCACACCCCCAGTTCTTTTCTGCTTCCAGTTACTTTTCAGGTAGGGTCTCATGTCTTTGCCCAGGGCCAGTCTGGACTGAGATCCTCCTACTTACCCCTTCCAGTATAGCTGAGATCAATGTCGTACACCACCATACCTGTCTTATCCACTGAAATGGGTTTCCTCCCCAACCCCTGCTGGCCTCAAACCTCAATCCTCCTAATCTGCACCTCCAGAGTAGCTAGGACTGCAGTCACAAACCATCATGTTTTTTAAGTACACAGAACTTCTGCCATGGAGATGTCCTTAGACCCTAACCGGAAATCTTTCAATCTCTTCAGAACCCTGAAAATAGGAGGCATACATCTAAAGAATCACTCCATCCAGTGTTGATTCTGAAAAACTGCCAACCCTTGGAAAAGGAAGTCTTGGGCTCATTTTCCAAGGGTGTCTAACAGGGCAGTAATATATTTGCATTTTACAGCCTGTGCTTTTCCAAAACAAGGGAAGAATGAAGTGTGGATTTAACCCTGAGATCCCAGTGATTGTGCAGTCTCTGGACACTGCTCTGCAGGGGAGTGGATGCCATCAAGAGAAGGCACTTCCTGGGTACATGTGGGACAGAAAACTTTCTGCTTCCTCCTCTACTCAGGGGCTGGCTGACATGGTGTTTGGATATGTCAGTGTCCAGCATCAACTACAAAGAGCTGGGAGCTGTTAAGACCCAGGCCCCAAAGTCAGCCTTTGCCAAGGAACCTTCGCGCTGTACTTACTGTGTGCCCTGGTCCTTTCTTCTCTTCCTCACCCTTCTCAAACAGAACCTCAGGTCCCCTATGTCTCAGAGCTGCATTGGGAACACAGCTTAGATCAATTATGGCTCCTTCTCTGATTGACCACCACTGCCTGTGAATCCAGAGAGTTACTATAGGAACTACCTCACACAGCCCCCAGACTTTGCTTAGAAAAGAAACTGCATGTTTAGTGCTGGAAAAAGGAGAGTAAGATCCAGCAAATTGGAGGCAATCCCCAAGCCCAGTAGTTCTCAAAATCTGATTGCAATTACCTTCATTAAATCACCTGGAAAGTTCATTAAAGGTACACATTCCTGGGCTTCCTCTAGATGTATCAAGTTAGAATTAGGGCATGGCAAGAACTGGACTTTTAATGCCCTCACATAGTGATTCCTATACATACTAGGTTTTGACACCTAACTGGGACCAAATGCAGATGATTGTGAGAAAATAAAATGACTTTAAAAGACACATTAAATCTGATCTCCCTACTTATCCTCATTCTTACAAAATACAACACTTTGAACCAAACATGACAAAAGCCAACTTTCAGTTTATGTATGTTCAAGAAAATTAAATTATGATCATGATGAAAACTTACACTTTAACACAAAAAAAATGCTCACCAAACCAGAAGACTCAGACAAAAATTAATTCCAACATCCCATTTTAAACCAACAAGATCTATTCTGAGAAATGAGAGAAGTGAGATAAGAACTTGGCTGCAGCCCCATTCTGGTCCCAACCATATCCAGCAATTTTCAGGTTGGATCCAGGGCAGGATTTGATGTCAAAGAGGTTGAGGGGTGTTTCCCCTAGTTTCAGCAAATATGGTTGGGGAAAAATCATTAAGGGGAAAAATAAAATTCATCAACTCACATGTCTCTATGAGAAGGAAAAAAATCTAAAGACAACTCACCATATTGGGCACAAATAAGACACTCGAAAAGTGTTTTGTGAGTTGAAGGAATAGACACCTGATGGAATAATCCTTGAGTGAGATGCTAAGCCCTGAATGTACACAATCACAAAAGAGAAAAAAGGAAGAAAGTAAAATTGTCCCTACATCAGAAGTCCTATGTTTTCAAAGCCACCAAGATCCAACTTACATGGAAGGGCAATACCTACTTTCACTTAATGACAGGCATACTGTATGCACTGAGTGTCACTGGGTGTTTAAGTCACCAGGGGAAAATCAAGCAGAGCCTTTTTCCACGGAAAAGCGCCCTTTCCTAGTGATGGGCCGTGGGAACCTCCACTGCAGTTTTAGAAATCAGAGCTCCTCAGTCAAGGAGGAGCTTCACAGAGCACCAGCCTTGCACACCTGATGGTTCAGCATACAGGATTGGACCCCGCCCCTCCCTCCAAGGATGGTCCTGGGGCTTTGGCCTTGGCGCTGAAAATTCCAGTTATCCGGGATAAATTCTTCAGTAGCAAGATGCTGAAACTTAACATTGCACAACAACACTAGCAAACAGACAGCTTTCACACCACCCCCACATCAATGACTGGCACATGCAAAGGAGTCATGGCAAAGCAGACATTTAGGAAGTGACTTAAACACCTGGACCCAGATACCTGGAATCAAAAAAAGAACTATACTTTTCCTCAGTCAGGAAGCAGGCATTCCCCCTTTAAAAGACCTTCCTGAAAGCACCTCTCCCATGGGAGCCCAGCAGGTTAAATAACACCAGAGCCTCCTTAAAGTGATTCTAAAGAACCAGGTGTCCCATCTGCGCTCTGTTCACCAGCTTCTCTCCTCCAGAGGGCTTCGGGAAGAAACTCAATCCAGCCTAGGCGGGCAAGGATGGGGGAGTCTGCAGTGGGGAGAATGGGGGTACAGCAATGCCGCTCAAACTTTTCAGCTGCTTTTTAGCAATTATGGGCAGAAGCCGGTGCAACCGTGCACTGAGAAGGGGGCTTAACCCACCTGCTCCGCTTCCAGGATAGCTGTGCATTCCACCCACTCAGACATGTACCCTCCTACTGGCCCCCTCACCTTGGCCTCAAAGCAGATGCCGTGCTGGAAGGCGTCCTCGTTGTGCAAAGGGATCCGCAGGTCGTGCCCATCATCCACCAGGTTGTACTTGGTTTTGCTGGGCATGGTGACCCGCGGTGGACCCGCTCCTCCAGAGGCGGCGGTGGCAGCAGAAAGGGGCTTGGGGAGACCCCGGGGAGGGGAGACTGGCGCGCGGCGAGGCGGCGCTGGCGGGGGTCAGCGGGCGCGGGGTGGGCAGCGCCTGGGCAGCGCCCGGGCCGCGAGGCTGGAAGGCGGCCGCAGCCGGGACGCGGAGCGACGCCGCGGGCCAAGCGGCAGCGGGCGGCGCGGATGCGGGCGACGCGAGCGGCGCTGTGGCCGCGCTATTGCTGCCGACGAGGAGGGCGGTCGGGAAGGCGGCGGCGGGAGCGGGCGGCGCGGCGCCCCAGCCCGGGGAGGGGAACGGTGGGCGCGCGGCCCGAAGCAGGACTGGGCGCGGCGCCCGCCCGCCCCAGAGCAGTGGCGCGGACGGCCCGGGACGAGGAAGAAAAGGTGGCGGTGGAGGTGGTGGCGGCAGCAGCAGCGGCGGCGGCGGCGGCGGAGCAGGGTGCCTGTCACGAAGACGGCGGAGCAGCCGCCAGCCAGCTAGCTGCTCCTCCTGCGGGGCGGGCCCGGTGGACTCCTCCCGCCGGGCGCCAAGGCCCCGCCCACTTTCTGGCTCCGCCCACTGCAGGCTCCGCCCCATGCCCTCCCAACGGGGCCAGCAGAGCAGGTGAAAGTCTCCGAGCGCTGCACCTAGCCGGGCCAGCGTCACTCGCCGCCAGGTCCCAGGAACTTGGCCCTGGCCTCAGGCAGCCAGGAGCTCGGGAACCTATGCTGGATCCAGTTTTCCCGTTTTGCATGCAAATTTTGAGCTGGGCACAGTTAGCAGCAACCTCCTCGCCTTGGATTTTTTTGGTGTTGCTTTGGGAGAGGGGGAGGGGCGGTGTTTATCGTTTTCTTTCTGTTTGGCCAGGAAGGCGCAAGTCCTGTTCCAGATATCCCCAATTTGGGCCTCATTAATTCTGGGCGTCCCCTTTCTCTTGAGAACCAAGACTGCGCCCAAATTGGGGAGTACACAAAGGGAGAACTGCCAGGTGGGAGGGGTTGTCCCTTTGGGCAGTGATATGTGACTTGTGTTGGGGGGGCACAGGTTGGGCGCCTTTTAGGAGACTTGACACATTTAAAAGTCGTCAGCCTTATAGAGACGGAGTAGCCAGAAAAGGAGTACTAAGGACAAGAGATTCCAGAATGGCTTTATATCCTTAATTAAACTTCTATAACTGAGTATGGACAAAATGAGTTTCCAAGTTATCTCAGACTGGTATATATAGTTCCTGTTTTAGTAAATGCTTTGAGTTAGATTTGTCTGTTGCCTTTTCTCCTTTACACTAAAATTCTTAAGAAAAGTTAAGATTTCATCTCACCCCCGTTGGAATGGCTATCTTCAAGAACAGAAAACACGTTAGTAAGGATGCAGTGGAACAGGAACCGTTTTACACTGTTGGTGGGAATGCAAATTAGTACAACCATGGAAAGCAGTTTGGAGCATCCTTAAAAAACTAAAAATAGAACTACTATATGATCCAGTGATCCCTCTCCTGGGCATATATACTCAAGGGAATGCAAGTCAGGATACAATAGAGACACTTGCACACAGGTGTTTATTCCAGCACTGTGCACAATAGCCAAGCTATGAAAACAGCCCAGGTACCTTACAAATAATGAATGGATGAAGCAAATGTGGTGTATATATGCACCATGGAGTTTTATTCAGCCATAAGGAAGAATGAAATTATGTTGTTTGCTGGTAAATAGGTGGAATTAAGTGAAGTAAGCCAGGTTCAGAAAGACAAAGACCCATGTCTTCTCTCATATGTGGAAGACAGATCCAAAAGATCATATACATGTGTATACAGAAAACATGTTTGTAATAGTGGAGGAGGGAAAGGAAAAGAGAATAATAAGAGTAAACAGTATCAGAATACATTGCATCTATGCAGGTGGATGACATAACCATATGTACTGGAAGCTGTTGAATAATAGGGGGTAGGAGAGAAAGAGTAAAGGAGGGAAATAAAGGGGGTTGAACTGACCAAACTACAGTATACTCACAATTGGGACACACTGAGAAACCCCTTTGAATACTGACTTTGAAATTACAAATGAAGGACAGTACATGAAATAGGTCCTGTTGTAGCGGGAGAACCTGTGGGAGGAGAGAAGGTGAATGGAGGAGATGAAGGTGAGGGAATATGGTTGACAGGTTTTGTATGCATATATGAAATAAAACAATGAAACATTCTGCAGTTGTTTTAAGTGGGGGGGGTGAGGAGGGAGATGGTGAGGATGATCTAACTATGTACAATGTAAGACTAGCCAGAATTGTCACAATGAATCCCCCCTACACAATGAATATATGCTAATAAAACTTTTTTAAAAATTTGAGAAAATTTGCCTAGTTATTTCCATCTTGGATGAGACTGGGTAATCAAAGGATTATAGACTGTGTTCAACCTCTTAACTGCGCAACTTGTGCAAATGAAGAACCCATAGAAGGAGTTAGTGACTAAATATTCAATATCTCTCAAAACAACACCAAAGATAGAGCTATAACTACAATCATATTACTCCAAAATCTCCAAAAGTAGCCAATCAACCAGTGTCAAAGCCAGTCAAGCTGAGATCACTTAGACCAAATGATCAAGTCTATTGAATTCGTCACCGCAAACCTGCTTTTAATGCCCTGTGGGCACATCTTTCCAAGGCCACTCTCTGGTCAAACACCACTGATTGCATGTTATAGAGGCCCGTCTTGGAATCATCACAGAGCATCCTGAAGAGACTGTGCCTGCACCATTTCCATGATAAATTCGTATTTCTCATCTGTTCATAGGGCTAAAGCACAGTTGATCTTTCCTGCATTCTGCTACTCCCTATCTACTGAAATTACTGGTTAGGAGGTAGTATCTTCTGGAATATCTCCCTAAATAAACGCAAACTAATGACTAGCACAATTTAATCTCATGCCTTATACTGTATAGACCTTACTGATGTTCATAAGTAGGAGCCAAAAAAGTTTGCACTGAGGAAATGCGCCACTAACCTTTTTATAAATACAGTACAAAAAAGTCTAATCAGTCACGTTTGACTCTCTGAATGTCACAGTGGTTTTAATATGCATCAGAAATGGACTAAAAAACCTGGCATAGTAACTCAACAACTTAAAGGCAAGACCTTAAGTAACTATTTCATTTATATCTCATGTTCTCTCCCAAATCGATAATGTTCTCTGACTCCCGGCAGCCTTTTTTCTAGATTAACTTGAGTCTCACTGGACTAAAGAATTTACCAGAATTTCATAACTAAGTCTGCAAGGCATTGTTTTTAGACAAGACACAAACAAAAAGGCAGAAACCTCAAAAGTATTTCAGGGTCTGGTACAGAGACTTCTCCATAGTAGATATCCAATAATTAAGGATTGAATAATATTAATGGCTAACACTCATTAGCTTTCTCTGTGTGTCAGGCGTTGTTCTTAGTGACTTACATATACTATCTCATTTAATGTTCACACCTACCCTAAAGTTGGCCCCATTTTCCAAAGAACCAAAGCAAACCAAAGAGGGATTTGCTTAACTTGCCCAAGGTCACATTTACAAAGGGATGGAGTCAAGTCAAGTCTATGTCAACAGGTGGAGCCTGGGCGGCCATGGAAAGCTGCTTACTACAAATGAGACACATGTCAAATTCAAGATCTGTGTTTTATTTAGATATGTTGCTAAGTTATTCATTGCATTTCAGTTAAATGAAATATTCCAAAAAAGGAGAGGCCAGTTATCCAGTTTGGCCTTTACCACCTAGAATGTTAGTGCCACACAAACATGAAAACACCCTTCCTCTAGAAACATTGGCATCCAAAGTAATTTCCTTTTTAAAATTTTTTAGCAGTCATTTCAACCTTGTTTTTAACACCTTTAAATATAACTGAATTTCACTCTTGATCTTTCCAAATCCATTTAAAAAAAGAGAATCAAGTTTTATTTCTTAAAGTGAATAACAGGTGAATATACAACTTTCCATACCTTTCTAGTTTGTTTTTGCTTTCATTTTGTTTTTTGGTTTTAGTTTCTGAGACAGGATCTTACTATGTAAAGACCTCGAAATCTCAATCCTCCTGCTTCTGCCTTCCAAGTACCTGATATTATAGGTGCATGCCACCATGCTTGGAGATTGTATATATATATATATATATTCAGACAATAGTCAGAGAAGTGTAGCTTCCCTTTCTTCACCATATTCCTTTTTTGTTTAGTTTTGGTATGGGGGATAGAATCCAGGGTCTCATGCATGCTAGGTCAGCATTCAACCACTTGACCCACACACCGCAGTCATTTCTGTGTTTTAAAAATTGCATTAAAAAAAGTTTAATCTGAAGTACCCTTAACTAAAATATAAATTTCTCAAATAGAGAAGTTGGAACCAATTGGATTATAATCATGTATACATGAATGTCACAAGGAAACTCCCTGTGAAGAAAAATGTCATTTTTTTTTTTTTTTTACAAAATCAGAGAACAGGAGGGCAGAACAGGTCCTGTCTGGGGGGTTGGTATCAGTGGAAGGGGGAGGATGTGGAGAAAGGGAGTGGTATGGTGAATATAGTGAAAATATTGTGTACACATGTGTGTAAATGGAAAAATGAGACCTGTTGAAATTATTCCAGGAATGGGGGGGAAGGGAGATAAAGGAGAATGATGCAGTGAATTCAAGTATGATATAGTTGATATATTGTAAGAACTTTTGTAAATGCCACAATGTACCCCCAGCACAATAAAAATAAAATACAGATTTCTCAATCATATAATACTTCCTATGTTAACTTCGTTTAAAAATTAAGTGTAAAGCCAGGCCTAGTGGCAAATGTCTATAATCCCAGCACTTGGGAGTTTGAGGCAAAAGGATCAAATATTTGAGGTCAGCCTGAGCTACATAGCAAGACCCTATCTCAAAACAAACAAACAAACAAAAAGCTAACTCTAGGAGGCTAAGGATATAGCTTAGTAGTAGCACCCCTACCTGGTATGCTTGAGGCCTTGATTTCGATCCCCAGCAACACACACACATACACATACACACACGGTCATTAATCCATGCCCTTCATTATAAAGACAAAGATT